TCAGCTTCGTAGATTTTGTGATCGCCAAGATAATAATTTGCCCGCCAAAATTTTCACGGGCCGTAAGAGATACCCGAGAGCACGAGAACACTGAATTTTAGTTTGCAAGGCCGTACATGGGCGAGGAGGCCATTACCCTAAAATTTCAACTTCGTAAATCTTGCGGTCCCCAAGATAATAATTTACCCGACAAAACATTCGCGGGGCCGTTCGTGTTAACCGCGCGAAAGAGAAGGCTGAATTTTAATTTTCTGGGGTCGCATATGGGCAGGGGATGTCCTCAAAATTTCATCTTTCTAGCCCCCGTGACCGAGATAATAATTTTACCCGCCCAAACTTTTACAGTACAGTACGTGTTACCCACGGGTGCGGAGAGGTTGAATTTAAATTTGCGGGGTCGCACGTGGCTGAGGGACGTTACCCCAAATTTCCAGCTTCGTAGCTTTTGTGGTCCTCGAGTTGAAAGTTGCGGACGAATTATTGCGGACATATACACATACACACATACACACAAACACACACAGACAACTCCGTGACAATATGCGTGTTGTATTGCTTTAACGCAGCAAAAAACGCATAAAAATATAAAAAAATGCATAAAAAAGGGAAAACATAAGCAACACGTGTAAACAGCAACGCGGACCAGACTAACCGGTGCGATCGTGCGTTTTGTGCAATTCAGTTCATCGAACGATTGCTTTGTACTTCAGTCTACACAAAAATAGTTAAAACGTTGAAAAATAGCTAAAAATTTCATGCACCTGCGCATTAAAGCTGAATTTGAAACCTTGAAGGGTGAATATTCTTCCGTGAATCCCAAGTTAATAGTTTACCCGCCAAAATTTTCACGAGGCCGTAGGCGACATCCGAGAGCGCGGGAACGCCGAATTTGAACAAGCAAGGTTAAGCGTGGGCAGGGGATCATTACCCTAAATTTCAGCTTCCTAGACTCCGTGGTTCCTGAGATAATAATCTATCTGTCAAAAATTTCCACGGAGCCGTACATGTTACCCACGGGCAGGGGAAAGCTGAATTTAAGTTTTCTGGGTAGCACGTAGGGCGGGAGACATGCCCACAATGTTTCAGCGTTCTAGCTTACGTGGTTCCCGTGATAATTTTACTCGAAAAAACTTTTATGGAGCCGTACTTGTTACCTGCGGGTACGGGAAGGCTGAATTTAAATTTATCGCGTCACCCGCTGGCGGGGAACACTATACCAAAATTTTAGCCGCCTAGCATTTGTGGTTCCCGAGTTGAAAGTGCGTGATAAAATGTGGGGCACACACACATACAAACACATACATAGACAACCCTGTGACAATATGCTTTTTGTACTGCTGTTACATAGCACAAAACGTATAAGAATCCAAGAAAATGCATAAAAAAAGGAAAATATAAGCAACACGTGTAAAAAAGTGTAAGTTCCTTAATTGGCAAGAC